GATGGTATAGACTTTCGCTAAAGAATGGCTGTGAATATTATTTATAAATGAGTAAACAAAAGCATAAATTTCTGACTATACTGAGTTAATTAAATTACAAGTTTGTAATGTGTACTAAATTGATTATTAAATGATTATCGATTGAACTTAAGAAATAAAGTTGTGAAATTAAATATGTAAATTGTTAACAGTTAACTATACATACTGCCACTCTAGAGTTAATGCAGCAAAATTAATAATTTCACAAATTATCTTAAAGAACATTTTTTTACCAGAGAAAATAAAATGAGTAAATTAGTTAAATTACAAACACGAAATAAAATTTGTTAATTAATAAAAAAAATTAGTAAAATCACAAGCATGAAATAAAAGTGCTTAATTAATAAAAATTATAGTAAAATCACAAGCGTGAAATAAAATTGCTTAATTAGTAAAAATTAGTAAATTAGTGAAATCATAAACACGAAATTTTAATTTTTTTTGGTAATTAATAAAAATTAGTAATTTAGTAAATTAGTAAAATCATAAGCACAAAATTAAATTTGTAAATTAAGAAAATCGTAGGCATAAAATTTAATTACTTAAAACTGAAAAATTAAAACTTAAAACAGGGATTGCCACAAAAATTTAATTTTGTTTTTCCCTGACTTTTCCCTTATTTCCAGCCAAAATTTTGACTTTTTCCCTGACCCTGAAGAATATTCTGATTCACTCCAAAAATTATTAGATACTCCAAAAAATGTTCTATTACATTCATTTACGAATTTCTTTAAATGTAAAATTATTCGATTTCATCAATGACTTCTTTTTTAAATAAATATTTCACGATTAAAATTTTTCGACAGGATTTAAGATTTATAAAAAATGTTATCAAAATTTGTAAAATAAATGCAATTTTTTATCATTTTATTTAAAATAATTGAAATTCTGCGATAAGTTTTGTTATTCATGAAAATGATTGAATTCTAGCAACGAATTTTATTAAAAAATTTTTTAAAGAATTGAACTCCTGTGAAGAATTTTATTTGTGAAAATAATTGAATTCCGAAGAAATATATCATTATTTATGAAAATAATTAATTTCTTGTGAATAATTTTATTAAATTTCTTTTTAAATAATTGAATTTCCATAAAAAATGTATTATTTGTGAAAATAATTGAATTCTTAAGAAGAATTGTATTGAAAATAATTGAATTGCAAAGGAAAATTTTATTAAAATAGCAATTTTATTAACTAAATCTTGTAAAGAATTTTTTTAAATAATAGAATTTTCAAAAGAATTTTATTTAAATTTTTTTAAATAATTGAATTTCTCAGAATTTTTCAAAAACTTTTTAAAAATAATTAAATTCTATCGAGAAATTTCATTAAAAAATTGAAAATAATTGAAATCTGACGAAGAATTTTGTTAAATTTTTTTAAAATAATTTAATTCCTGTGAAAAATTTTATTTTTGAAAAGAATTGAATTCTTGGGAAGAATTTTATTGAAATTTCTTAAATAATTGAATTGTTTCGAAGAATTTGATTTTTTACAAAAATAATTGAATTGTTTTGAAGATTTTTACAAACATTTTTGATAATTATTTGTATTCCTAGAAAGAATGTTGTATTTAACGAAAATAATTGTATTCCATGATCAATTTTATTATAAATTTTCAAATTTATAAAGCATTTTATCATTATTTTTTTAAATAATTGAATTCTCGAGAAAAATTTAATTATTTATGGAAATAATTGATTTCTTGCGAAGAATTATATTCAAATTTTTTTTTAATAATTGAATTCACATTAAAAAATTTATTATTTGTGAAAATAATTGAATTCTTGAGAATTGTATTGAAAATAATTGAATTGTATAGGAAAATTTTATTAAAATTGCAATTTTATTAACTAAATCTTGTAAAGAATTTTGTCAAAAAATTTTTAAATAATTTAAATTTTAACAGAATTTGATTCAAATATTTTTAAAGACTTGAATTTTTAAAAGAGTTTTATTCAAAAATTTTTAAATAATTGAATTTCTCAGAACTATTTTTTTTTAATTTTCTGAATATATTTGAATTCTTTCGAGAAATTATTGTCAAAAATAGAAAAAAATTGAAGGTTTTGTATTAGAATTCTTGTCAATTTCATAGTTTATCAGGCAAACAAAATAGACACCAAAATTCAGAATTTTCTTATAAATTCTAAAAATTTAATTATTTCCAGTACTTTTAATAAAAATCCCTGACTTTTCCATGATTTCCCTGACCAATTCTAATTTCCACGACTTTTCCCTGAATTCTCTGACCTGTGTCAAACCCTGTTACGAATAATCAAAATTTCAATTGATGTAAAATAGTTTCTTTTTTATAAAAAAGGGTAAATTATAGTGCGAGACCCAACCTACGCAATATATAAAATTATATTTTTTTTCTGAAATCTTTATACATCCATGTAAATTAAATGGGATTTATTCTGTATATCGATGTAGAGGGAAAAACGTGCGTGTATAAATATAGTTGTTCGTGAGAGGTTAGTATTTACGTGTGACTTCATACGGAAAAGCAATAACGTGACAAGAATTCGAAATTAGCATGTGTGTGAGTTTATAGGGCAATAGACAATATTGTATAAAGTGAGCGAGGTGAACGTGCTTTCTATAAAAGAATCATGATGCACCCATATTTACACGTACGAAACAAATCCTTTCTATAAATCAAGGGGTGTGGGGAGTCAATCTCATTATTATCAATAGAATTATTATTGAGACATTTATTATTTACACGCACTTCTTTTCTTTACTATTATTTTTTTTCCTTCTAGCATTTTTATATTACTATTTTTTTCAAATATTTCTATATTAATATTATCCATTAAGGCCTCGGAATCACGCGACTATTTTTTCCCCCTTTTTTCTTTTTTTATTTTTCATTTTTTTTTTCTATTCGATCATAACTATTTAGCTACTATTTTCATAAATTACTAATGACACTGTAATTCTTTCAAAGTTCAATTATTTTTATTTGTTGTTATTTTAAAATAAAATCCAATTATTTAAAATTTTTATTGAAATTCATAAATAAAATCGATTTAAAAAAATCAATTTATTCTTACTGGAAAGTTCTATACGGGAATTCAATTATTTAAAGATTTAAATACTTAATTCAAATATTTAAATAAATAAAAATAAATAAGTTACTAAATAAATGAATTTTCATAACTTTATCAAAATTTTTAAAAATATAATTGAATTCTCTTCCACAGGAATTTTAATGAAATTTTCAAGAATAATTTTATTTTTCGAAGAATTCATTTTAAATTGTGATTAAAAATAATTGGCATTAAATTAAGTTAATTAAATAATTAAATTCCGGGGAAAATTTTATTATTTATAAAAATAATAAATAAAAGTAAGAAAAAAAATACACGGAAAGGAAATATACGTTAAAGTAAAAGTATTTTACAATTTAGGAAAAAAGTGCAACAAAGCAAATTTTTGATATAAAAAATACTAAACATTAAAAAACATAATATGTGAAATTTAGTAAAGTTAGATTAAAATATAATTAATATTCTTGATATTTGATATAATTTTACTAAATTTGACATAAGTTTTTTTAAAGTTTCGTATTTTTTATATAAAAAATTTGCTTTGTCGCATTTTTTCCCCAAATTGTATTTTTGCAAATTTTATTCCTTACTCTCTCTTCGTGTAAAAATTGTAAAAATACAAATTGAATTGTTTCGAAGAAAATTTAGAACTAAATTTAATTAAAATTGTACATAAAATAATTGAATTCTTCTATAGTTTATCGAAAATTCGAAATTTTAAAAAATAATATCAACAAATTTTGTTAAAGCTCTTAAAAATAATTAAATTCCATCAAGAAATTTATTCAAATTTTTTTGGAAATAATTGAATTTTTCCATGTGAGAATTTTTATTATTTATGAAAATAAATTGAATTTTTGCAAACAATTGTATAACATTTTTTTTTAAATAATTGAATTCTTTTGGAAAATTTTATTTAAACAGTAGATGTTGAAAATAATTGAAATTTCAAATTTTTTTAAAAATTTTGTTACGAAGAATTTTATTAAAAAATTTTTAAAATAATTAAATTCATTCAGAAAATTTAATAAAAAATGTATTGAAAATAATCGTTAAATTCTAATAAATAAATTCTATCAAATTTTTTTTTTAATATATAATTGAATTCCTTAGAAGAATTTTCATAAAATATTTCAAAATAATTGCATTTTTCGAGGAAATCAGTTAAAAATTGTACTAAAAATAATTGAAATCCTGCGATGAGTTTTATTATTTATGAAAAATAATTGAATTCTTGTAACGAATTTTATTAAAAATTGCATTAAAAATAATTCAATTCCTGAGAAAAATTTTATTATTTATAAAAATAATTGAGTTTTTGCGAAGAATTTTATAAAAATTGTTTTAAAATTTAAACATTTAAAATAATTGATTTTATTCGAAAAATTTGATGAATTATTGTGTTTTAACTTTTAAAGCAATTGAATTCCGGTGAAAATTTTATTATTTCTGAAAATAATTTAAAGTTTGCAAAGAATTTTACATACAATTTTTTTTTTTTAAAATTGAATTCTATTGGTAAATTTTTATTAAAACAGTAGATATTGAAAATTTTTGAATTTCAAAAATTTTTTAAAAATTGTGAATCGTTAGAATTTTATTTCAATTTCCTTAAATTGTTTCTAAGAATTTTATTAGAATCTTTGAGAACAATTTTTTTATTCGAACTACTTGCGAATTTAAATAGTTTTTTTTCTTATACAGTTTTCAGTGGAGGTGAAAAAAATATATATATTGTAGAATAATAATAATTATAGTAATAATAATAATAATAATAATTTGTTTTTCTATAAATAAAAGTTGAGTAGAAAAGATAGCAAAAAATTTCTTTGGTGTATATATAGATATTAATGAAATTATTATTCAAATATAAATATAAAATGGAATATGCAATTTACACTCACCTTACCTGATTCATCCGCAAAGTGGCAATCTCCTTCTTGAGATGGAATCTGTAACAAAAATCATAGCTGTCAGTTTGACATACCTCATTTTACATATTCCAAGCTTACATCAATAATACATGAGCAATCATTCATTCTTGGAGCTGATTAAATTATTATAAATTTTCTACTCGGAAAATTAAGTTTTCTTTCTTTTCAGAATATTTTTTTTTTTTTTTTGAACACGTATTTTATTTTTTTCTAAAACATTTTTTTCCCAATTTTAAAACATTTTTTAAACTATTTTTCATATTTTTTTAAACTATTTTTTTGGCTTTGAACTTGTATTACCTTATTTAAAAATTTAAAATAGATAAAATAATTTTAAAAAATAAAATTAAAATGAACATTTATTATTTAATATTCGATATGTTTAAAGAAACGATTTACTTTAAAAAAAGGAATTATTGTTTATTGATTTTTAAAATAGATAAAATAATTTTAAAAAATAAAATTAAAATGAACATTTATTATTTAATATTCGATATGTTTAAAGAAACTTACAAAAAATTATTGTTTATCGATATTTAAAAGAGATAAAGTAAAAAAAAATTCAAAAAACGTGTTTATTATTTAAGTTTAAAGAAACTTTTTACTTAAAAAAAAAAAAATTTCTTTTGTGTATTCATAAAAAAGGGATTATAAACAAGTCTTTTTCGAAGGGTAGAAAGTTTTTCTGTCTGAATAAAGAGGGAGTAAAAAAAAAGATTAAGGTGAATAAAGAGGGAGTAACAGAGAAGAAGAGTAAGGAGAATAAAAAGGGAGTAAACGAAAAAAAAGAGTAAGAAGAATAAAGAGAGAAAAAGAGAAGAAGAGTAAGATGAAGGGGGGAGGAATTTAATTCATCCACGTAGACACTATAGCGAATTATCTTCGAATTTATGAACATGTACAAATAATTTTTTTTTTCAAAATTTCTTTTTTCAATAAATTTTATATACACAAAAGCTTTTTATAAGCAGAGAGAATAATGAGCGAGGACCAAGAAAATTATAATGTAAATATATATAGGCGTATGTATAGTCGGTGATAAAACGTTGAAAAAATATTCCTCTTTCAAAAAGTGCTAACGAAAACTTATTGTTAAAAGGAATTTTCGATCCTTTCTAAAGTATAAATGTAAATTTACATTCTTATCATGTGGGTGTAGCTTTCTTTTCTTTTTTGTTAATTTTTTTTTTTCAAAGACTGTCTATTGAATATTATTTCGGAAAGAGTAAAGCTCTCGAGTATTTTTTTTTTATTATTTAAACTTTTTCACTTACAGAAAAAAAATTATTTGTTTTCTCTATTTTTATTATTTTTATTATTTTTTTATTAAATTAAATATGTGTTTAATATTTTCTTCTCCGTTTACTAGTTTTTTCTGTTTACTATTTTTAGATATTTATAAAAAAAATTATTTGTTTAAAAAAAAAAAATTAAAAAAAAAATAATAACAATAATAATAATAATTTAAAAATTATTTGTTATTTAAATTATTTTATTGTTAAATGAAATATGGGATTTAGTATTTTCTTCTACGTTTATTATTTTCTTTTGTTTACTATTTTTAGATTTAAAAAAAATGATTTGTTTTGTTTATTTTTATTTTTTAAATTATTTTATTATTAAATTATTAATATTAAATTATTTTATTATTAAATTATTATTATTAAATTATTTTATTATTAAATTAAATACGCGTTCAATATTTCCTTCTACATTCACTATTTTCTTCTGTTTAGTATTTTTAGATTGAAAAAAAAAATAATTATACTTTAAAATCAATTGAATAAAATCGAAACATAAATTGAAATGAAAGGTGTGTGAAAATTAATTTAAAAATCATGAGCAACATATGAAATCTAATTAACACAAACGGGTAGGGGTAATTTGCATACAGTACGATTAAAAAAAAATTATTATTATTCTTTTTCTTAAATAATAATTCTTTCGGAATTAGAGTGTACCAATAAAAATTAACATACTGGTCCCAATGTAACTTATTGAATATTATACAAAAGTACTGTTTGATCGGTTAATTATTTTTTTTACTAATAATTTTATCAAACACACACACACACACAAATGGTGTAAAATCTAAACATAAATATGTATACATAGTGTGTATGTAAATTCAAACAGATTAAGCAATTTTCATACATTAGATTGTAACATGGACTCCTGTCAATTTGACAATCAATTTTTATTTTCTTTCGCAGGAGATAAAAAGGTATTAAAAATGCAATGGGAAAAAAAATTTCAAATTTCATTTAAAAAAAAAAATGAAAATTAATTTTCAGCAATGAAAATTAATTCAGCAATTAAAAATTAATTCAGCAATTAAAAATTAATTGTCAATAAAATAATTATAAAAATTTGTAATTAATATTATGAGTTATAAATTAAATATAAACAACAAAACTCATATCGAGGTTCGACTGTATTTTTTGTTTTTTTTACTAAAAAAAAAATTTGTTCGCTTTTTGTTTATCCATCGAAATTAGTATTGTAAATTAAATACAAGAAAAACTTATATCGAGGTTCGACTGCAGTTTTCAAAAAAAAAAAATTGTTCTCTTTTTGTTTAACCATCGAAATTAGTACAAAAAACCAAACTTATATCGAGGTTCGACTGTAGTTTTTGTTTTTTCTACTAAAAAAAAAAATTCTTCTCTATTTTTTTATTCATCGAAACTAGGAAGTCGCAAAGTCATCAACATATTGAAAAGTAGAGACTAATGTACAGAAAATCGTGTAAATTCTGAATATTATTTTTGAATGTAAATATATAAAGCTAATATTTATCCTCAATCGCGATGCTTGCGTGTATATCTTGAGGTTGAGTCTCCTCTCGAGGTCTTGTTATATTCTTCTTGCGAAAGAATGAAATGCCGTTCGCTCGACAGCCTTGCAAGGTTGTCTCGAGATAAACTAAGAGTGAATTTCTTGTCGGTTTAATCCCAGAATCTTTTCAAGTAGCATTTCTTCTTTTTTTTATCTATATAATTTCTTCCTCTATTTTTTTTCTTTTTTTTTTTGCTTCTTTACATTATACACTTTCAACTTTTTCATATAACATAAGTGGATTACGCGAATTTGATGAATTAAAAAAATTTTCAAAGACGACAGATTATTCACTCTTTGCTCCCTTTTTTTTCTCTATATTCTCTTCTTTTCATCGGATTTTTTTTTCTATCGAATTTCTACAACTCAATCGTACATAAAAAAGAAATTATTTATTAGAAAGAAAATTGTAATTAAAAATTATTTGTATCTATTGCTAAATTCTAAATAATATATTTTTTGTTTGAGAATAAACAATCTTTCCTTTATTTTAAATCTTTTTTTTTTGCAGGATTAATTAGATAATAAATTTTGAAATGTTATTCGAGAATTAAATTAGTATTTATTTATAATAAATTATTATTTATTTCTTTATTTATTTATAAAGCCATATATTTTAATTAATAAAGATCTTAAATTTCTTTGTTTGGCCTAACGGCCAAACAAATAAATTTAAGATCTTTATTAATATTTAATTATATAATATAATTACCTATATAAAAATTATTTATAAAAAATAATAAATAAAAAAAACTAATAAATAATAATAATAATAATAATAAAAGAATAAACTAATAAAAAAAGAAACTAATTAAAAATGAATTTTAATGAATTAAAATTAATTAAATTAAAAATGAAAAATTTTCCAAATCAATAAATTACGTAATTGAATAAAAAAAATACTACAATAAGGGATACATTTGAATAAGCGGAAATAATCGGAAGTTCGTGTTGCGAGATTAATTTCGTAAAATTACAAAAAAAAAGAAATATGATTATATTTTGATTTTTTTCGTAATCAGATACGGAAGTGGATATTTTGGGTTTAATAATAGAAGAGATATTGTATAGAAAAATTATTGCATGATCGTTGTTTTTTTTTCCTTTTAAATATATTTCTGAACGGGAGAATTTATAACACATTAAATGCGGTATAAAATTCATAAAGGTCGTGATAAAGTTGAAGACCTTCCCTTCAAGGAAAATTTTTTCTCTTTTTTTTCTTTCTTTTAAATCAAACGCTAGACGATGATGAGACTGAGAAATATATAAATTATGAATAAACACCGTTTTAAACGGTCAAGCAATCGTATAATATGAATCTCTCGTCGTTAATGTGTTTTTTTCCCCTCAGGAAAAAATAAACTGATTCTTATCCCTGAGTCATTCGAGCGTTGATTGTGAGACTTTAAATTTTTTTTTTTAATTTTGATTTTGATTTATTCGTTTTAATTTTATTTCGATTTATAATTCAATTTTATTGCTGTTAAATTAATTTTTATTTCAATTCAAATTTTTTCATGATTAAATTCAATTTTCTTCAATTAAATTCAATTTATTTCAATTAAATTAAATTTTATTTAAATTCAATTCTTTTTTAATTAAATTTAATTTTATTTCGATTCAATTAAATTCTTTTTCAACAAAATAAATTTTTATTTTAATTCAATTCTTTTTGAATTAAATTCAATTTTATTTCGATTCAATTCTTTTTGAATTAAATTAATTTTTATTAAGATTCAATTCAATTCTTTTTGAATAAAATTAAATTTTATTTCGATTCAATTCTTTTTGAATTAAATTAATTTTTATTAAGATTCAATTCAATTCTTTTTTAATAAAATTCAATTTTATTTCGATTCAATTCTTCTTGAATTAAATTAATTTTTATTAAGATTCAATTCAATTCTTGTTGAATTAAATCCAATTTTATTTTAATTCAATTCAATTCTTTTTCAACTAAATTAATTTTTATTCTAATTAAATTCAATTCTTTTTGAATTAAATTAATTTTCATTACAATTAAATATATATAAAAAATAATTTCGTCATTGTTAATAAAAACAAATAATAAAAAAAATAAAATTATCAATTTAATTGAAAATAAAAAAACTAAAAAATTATTTTTATTTTGACTTTTTTTATCGAGGTTCGACTGTAAAGAGAAGAAAACGCATCCTCCACAATGTATAGAAAGTTCTTTCTCACATTCTAATTTAAAAATAATTTTCGCATTGCTCTAATAATGAAAGTTAATTAAAAAAGATTTAGAAAATTTTCTCTATTCCACTCTAATAAAATTATAAATTTCCAAATGACTTTTCAGAAAAACTTTCGTCGCAATTCAAAGTGCGGCAAAGATTTCAGGCCCAGATTCAGAAATTGAAACGCAAAACGTGTTCTTCGGAATGCTGTCTGGTTTACTTGTCAAGATTCCCCCGCATTGGTCGACATAAAATAAGCAAACGTTTTGAGAATTTGATTTTTTTTTATTTCACTACAAAATTTGTCATACTTTTTTTTTTTTTTTTTTTTTTTTTTTTTTGCTAATGGACTCTTTCTCTCTTTCACGGTGTGTCATAGATTGAAGACTTTGATAAATAATCCCCGCAGTCGTTTGGGAGGTTCAGAGACCCTTGAAAAAAAGTTCATGAAGCGCGAGCGGACCCGTAAATCAAACAGTAAAATTCATGGCTTTTAACTCTCCGGATTAAAAAAACTGCAAAAAAAAATTGAAAAAAAAATGTTTTTAAACTGAAAATTAAAAAAATTTTCAAATATGATAAATAAAATAAAATTTTGTATAAAATACAAGGAAACGCAGAAAAAATACTTGGTATTATTTAATATTTACGATTTACTTTTTAAAATATTTACCCCCTTTGGTCTTGATAATTAACAAAAAAAAATTATTATTACAAGAAATAAAAATAAATTAATAATTATTTATTATTTTAAATATAATTATATATTTATTAATTTTTAATTATTAATTATTTATTATTTTATATTTAACTGAAAAGGACAATGTTCACAAATGTCAATCAATAAATATACAAGAAGAGAATAATTTTCAGAAAAAAAAATTGTTTAGTAAAAAATATGCAAAATATGAAGAAACATTATTTTCTCGAAGAGTGAACAGCCAAATGACAAAATCATTTGCCGCTTAAATCGCTTGGAAAATTTTGTATCATTTTTCCTAAATGATAAGAGGAAGATGAAGAAGAAGAGGAGAAAAAAATGCAAACTATAATATTCTCCACGAGTTTTCTTTTTTACACGAATTTCTCAGAACCAATCTCCGCACAATTTAAGAAAGTTATTTACTTTTAAATTTCGATATATTTTCTATTAATTTCCCTCAATATATTTTTTCTCCTCACTTTTATTTCATTTTCTATGTATCACATTTTTATCCTTCTATTTTATTCTATTTCGCTTGATTTTATTTTCATTCCATTCCACTTTATTTTAAAACTTCATTTTATTTCTAATCGTTTTTTTTTATTCTTCTTTTTAAATAAGAAATTTATTAATTAATTTTATTAAAATTTAAAACTTTCTCAAGAGAAAAAAAAGAAATAACGGATGTGACTAAATAATAAATTTAATAATTAAAAAAAATAAATAATTATTATTTAAATAAATGATTAGTTTTTCATTTTAATCAATATTTATATTATTAATTAAATAGATGCCTCATTAAATATTTATTTTATTAAATACATTTTTAAATAAGGTTAGAATAAAAATATAACCAAAATAAAGATTTGTGAAATTTATTTACATCTTCGAATTTTTTTCTTTTTTTATTTATTTATTTAAGATAGTGAATAAATAAAAAAAGGGGATAGTCTTGAAAAACTGTAAATAAACCAAAAAACAAAAAATAAACGAATAAAACACAAATGAAAAATTACATAAGTATTTTGTGATTAACTTTTTTTTGTAATTGTTTTGCGATCAAGAGAGAAGATTTGAGAGAAGATTGACGTAGAGTAATAAAATGGAAGGAAAAAAAATACATGAGGGGGATGGCAAATGGTGGGAAGTAATGAATGAATTAATGTTCGGTACAACTCTCTGAATGAAAAAAAAAAAAAAAAAAAAAAAAAAAAAAGAAGCATGTATCCTATGTAGTATAATATATAAGACAAAAGTGCAAATTTGTTAATTGCGCAATTCTTATTTCCGCGTGGCTTGTTCGAAACGAATAAGCAGGTATCTAATAGTAGTAGATAGAGCTCGGAATATCCGGGCAAATGTACTATAAAAAAATTGCTATGTTCCCAAACACACACACACACACACACAAACATATACACAATATTATTCCCGGTAAATGTGATGCAACTCGTGCTAGAAAAATTGTAATTGAAAAATAAGTGCTTACAACATTTTTTTTTTATATATATATCCATTACTTCAATTGCATATTGCGGAGGGCAATAAAGATATTAATTTACCGTACGATAACAACTATTTTCTCATATATTTAATATATGAAATGTATAACAGACGAAATAATTTGGCTTTTTTTTTAATTATTATTTCAGAAGTTGTGAGCGTAATCCAAGAATTTTTTTTTCTTTTGCAGTGGTATATAGTTGAAAAATAAATATTAGAAAAATGATGAAAAAATAGAAAAAAAAAGAAAATAAAAAAAAAAATAATTAATCATCAAAAAAGGAAAAAAAATAGGAGAAAATAAACTATAATTTATTTAAAAAAATTTTCTGATATTAAATAGATAAACATTAGAGAAATATAGTAAATAAGTAAAAAGACAGTATAATAAATAAATTGTAAGAAAAGTAAATTAAAATAATAGTCAAAAGAGTATTAAAAAACTAGTAAATAATTTTTTAAGTTAGCAAGTAATAATTTTTTTAATAGTAAAAACCAGTGAACAAATAGTAAAAAAATAATAAATAGTAAAGAACTAACAAATAAATAGAAAAAAAAATAAATAGTAAAAATTAAACAATAAATATGGAAAGAAATGAATAAATTGTAAAAAACTAGTAAATAAATATTAGAGACTGTAAATTGATAGTGAAAAATAGTAATAGTAAAAAAACTAGTAAGCAAATTGTAAAAAAGTAGTAATAGTCAAAAATAGTAAATGGATAGACAAAAATATAGAAAGTAACAAACAAATAGTAATGAAACTAGCACATAAATAGTAAAAAATAGTGAAAAATAGTAAAAAATTGTTAATAAATACTAGAAAATAGTAAATAAATAGTGAAATATAGTAAATAAGTAGTGAAAAATAGTAAACAAAAATAGTAAAGAAATAGTAAAAAATAGTAAATAAATAGTAAAAAAAAATCTTGTTTATTTTACGAGAAAGTAAATACTGAAGTAATGGGAAAGAAATTTCGCTTCTAAATGTAGAAAAGTGTTATTTAACAAACATGAAAGAAAGGAAAAATAACATAAGACATGGAATAACCAAAACATTTTTTTCGCAATAGGTCTTCGCCTTTTATTTTGCAATGTAGGGTGTACGTTCTATACTTGATACGCATATACAATTTCGAATTTTTTTTTTGTCACTTACGTAATTCAATTTATCGCAAAAAACCAAACGATTTTTGCAAAATTAATTTTTAAAGAAATAGGGAAGTAATAATGGAAAGTTAAATTTTTTTACTAGACTATCATTTCCACAATGTAATAATAAAAATAATAAGAATAAATAACAATAAATAAAACAAATAAGAATAAATAACAACAAAAAAAAAATAAATAAGAATAAATAACAATAAATAAAAAAAATAATAATGAATATTGATGAAAATAAACAAAAATAAAAAATTGTAAAAATAGCAGTTAATAATAATATTTGTGAAAAAATTATAATCAACGAAATAGTTATAAAATAGTAAAAATAATAGTATTAAAAATTCTAAAAAGAATAAAAAATAGTAAAAATAATAAAAAAATTGAAAGTGAATTGGAAAATTTAACATAAATACATGTTAATAAATTAACAACAAAATAATAAAATTCTTTTTTCGATTTTTGAAAGATAGATAAAAAAAAATTATTAAATTGAAAAACAGTCGTAAAAAATTTATAAACAATTAGAAAAAATTCATTAAAAATTCCATTTTTGTGCAAATAGGAAAAGTAGTGTTTAATAAATAGTTAATTTTAAATAATAATAATAATAATAATAATAATAAACTGTACTATAAAATTACTGATAATTAAAGATAAAAAAAATGAAAATTTTCAAAATTTGAAATAATAATTTTAATTGAATTTAATTTAATAATTTAAATAATAAAAATTATTTCAGGTACGGGGAGAAACAGCGTAAGGCTGACAGTCAAGATTTGAGTGGAATTCAACTATTGTCTGCAACGGCTTATCAGCTGAAAAAACCTTATCAACAATTATTAATTCCCATCACTGTGTGGATTGGCATGGAGCAGGCCTTCATTGGAGCCGATTTTACACAGGTGAGTTTCAAATTATGCAATTTTATTTTATTACAATTTTCATTCATTTCATTATTTTTTTAATATTCACTTGAAGAAATAAATCCCCAATTTTCAATTTAAATTAAATTATTATCTTTATAATTAATTTATTCCACGTATTTTAATTTACAATCACTATCAATTTTGAGATATTTGAATAATTGTTTAATAAATGTCTAATAATTATAATAAATAATAATAAAAATAAATAATAAAATAAATAAACAGTAGAATAAATAAATAATAACATAAATAAATAATAGAATGAATAAATAATAGATCATCAATAAATTAGTGAATTAATAAATAAATTAGGCGTAATAAATTAAGTCAACCTAATTATTTTATTTAAAAAAAAATTATTAACAGTATATTATAAAATAAAATTATGTTAATAATTTTTTTAAAAGAAAAAATAATTTGATTGTTGATAAAATAATGTAAATAATTACAGAATTTTTTAGTTTTTTTAGTTTACAGAATTTTTTTAGCTTATTATAATTTAAATTTATTATAATTTATTACAAATCATTTTATAGAAATTAAATTTGTTAACACTTTTTTTGAAACGATTTATTTTGAAAAATATAATTAATATTAAAAACTAATGGGTATCGTCAAATAAGCAAAAGAAAAAAAAACTTAAAGAGAAAAATTTAAAAAAAAACATTAAAATTAATTTTTAAAAAATTAATAAATATCAAAAACTGCGTATCGTTAAATGCAGAAAAAAACTTAAAAAGAAAAATGCAAAAAAAACATTGACGGCAAAAAATAATTTTCCTTCTTTCACTATAATAATGAAAGTGGCGCCGTCACTGCCATTAGAGTTATTAGAATTTAATCAATTTGAATTTGCAAATTAATGATCATTCGATTACTATATAAGTGATTGTAATTGTGACAAACGACTTTTAGTCGCATTCAACCTGCGCAATGACATCATATAAGTTATCGACTTTCCTGATGAAGACGACAAGTTTCTTATACATATATAATTTTTTTTTTCGTCTTTTTATATTTATTCCTATATAATCACTATAAAAAGGTCTGATTAAAATCAAAATTTACGATATTACAAATTTTTTTTTTAATAATTAATGTGTACTTAAATTTTTAATGACTCTCGGCGAATCAAGTGACACTGTAAATATATATTAATTATCGCCTAATTAAGTGCAAATAGGATTTTTTTGCCCATTAAAATTATTTCAAAAAATTCGTTACATTTTTTTTTTTAACTGCTTTTTATTTTTTCTCTTCGACGAAATATCGTTTTAATGAAGATGCATTAAAGGTAATCTTGTTTCTGAAAGTATTGGTTTTTTTTAATTAGGTATTTTTTATTAGTAATACTTTTTTTATTTTTTTATTAGTATTTTTATTAAATATTATGCATTATTTGTTGTATATAAATTATAAAATATTATTAAAATATTAATAATAATAATTATTTTTTTTATTCTTTAGTTTTTTTATTTTTTCAGTTTTTTATACTTAGTTATAGTTTTTTGTTTTTGACTATAATTATTTATTCATATATTTAAATATTCATTGAAAATAAATTTTAAAAAATAATAAAATTATAAATAGTAAAATAATAAAAAATATTTAATAAAAAAATTTAATGAATTGTATATAATATAATACGACAAAATAAAAAAATATAATAAAAAATACAGGAAAAATAATACAAAAATTAATAAATATTGAAAAAAGAATAAAAATTATTGAACATAAGAATTAAGAAAATTAAGAAAATTAATAAAACTAATGATACACAGTTATTTTCTTTCTTTTCACCAGAAAGAGAAGAGGAAGGAACTATTGATCTCGTTTCCTTTTTTTTCTCTTATTGTATATATTTAAGTTTTATGTTCGCAAATAAGCTGGAGCAAACACCTTTATCGAACATTGTTTTTCGATGTCAATTTTCTTTGTTAGAAAATTCCACTTAAATGACTCAACTGTACAAAGTTCAAATTAAGTGCAAATTTTGTTACACATTATTTGAGTATTTATTAAGAAAACAATATTTTACTATTTGCACTATTAAAATTCAATATAAAAAAATTGTGATTGGAAAAAGAAATTTTCTCAATATTCGCACACAATTTTATCATAAAAGTTTGAAAAAAAGAAAATATATATGGAAAAGTCAAAATATATTATTCAATTTTCTAAAAACTTCTCTCATTACTATTATAAATATTATATATATAATTCAGTAATATTTAAATAATTTTATCTCTATTGGAAAAAAAATTAAAATTTTTCATGAATATTTTTCTTTTTTCCTCTTATTAAAATGAATATTAATTGATAAAAAAGAGAGGATGATTTTAATTAAAAATCTCAATTTCTCATCGTTAACGTTTATTTTTAATTAAAACACCATTTCTTTTGCTGCTATCAATATTAATAATTGTAATTGAATTATAATCCCTCTATTATGAATATTGAAATGGGTATTATCCAATTTATCATTAATTAATGAGAATTTAAAAAAAGTTTTGTTTCTAGAAAATTTAAATTATTTTTTATTAAAATAATTAACTAAATATATTTTCTTTTAAATATAAGCATTTTAGTGATTTTTTCAATACTGAAAAGTAAAAGAGAAATTAATTTTTTTTTTTAAATTAATGACTTGTGATTAGAAATTCTCACACCATAAATTGAATTCACAAGGTCGTAGGAACGTAAGTGAAGGTTGCATGTTGAAGGAAGTATATAAACGTATAGTATGCGCGTGGCACAGAAGACCACTGGCGATTTTTTTTTTTACTTCCGGTGCGATCTCATCAAAGAAGTGGCTCGTTTCCTCTTTCACGAATTAATTACCACGTGCCAAAAGCAATCAAATATCTTTTATATTCTCTTATTTAAGAAAAATATTTCACATCTTAAAATTTTGTCTATACAAATTTTGAAAATTCTCAGTTAAATTTATTATCAGGAAAGAAAATTAATTCGGCTAATTAGCAGAAAATTAAAAAAAAAATATTTTTTAATTATTAAAAAATATTATTTATCAGATTATCAATATAATTATCGATAAATAATATTAATATTAATTAAATTGCTGTATTATTAATATTTTTTCCATAATCATTATGGAAAATATACTTTAGAGAAAAATTTATTATTTATTATTTTTATTATTTTATTTATTTATTTATTTAAAAATAATTAATTTTGTTTCGCCAAAAAAATATTTTTCATTTTCTTTCGCAAATTTTCTGCTTCAAAATCGTGTCAATCTTCATTATTAAAAACAACTTCCCATTTTTTTCCGGCTGTAAAAGGAGAGAGAAAGAGAAAAAAAAAGAAATGAAATTGTTTTACCACGCCAGTTTTAAAAGTAGGAAAAAAAATTCGATTGCGTCACATTCTGAGAGGGACACTTGCAGCTTCTGTGAAAACGTGTTTCGCGCGACGAGGTTAATGCCGCCCATTTCAGCTGCAATTTTTGCCAACATAAAATTGTACTACAATGGCGTAACGAACGGTATGACACCAAAACGTTCACGATTGATAACAAAAAAAACATAGCAAAAAAAAAAAAAAAATATTCTACATACTTTTTTTCGATATCACAACACATGTGCAAATTATTCCCATTCCTCTGATGCAATATTTCGCTTTGTTCGAATTTTGCCTCCCACATGGGTCACAATCTACGCTCAATGATTGAAGAAGGTCAACGTTCGACTTTTCCCTTTCTTCACATTTTATCTCGTGAATTTATTTTATTCGTATATTATATACATATCCAGAAATATGCAGTATTTCCTCGAGAAAAATATGACTCAAATTATCATTTGAACAATGAATTTGAAAATGTTTACTGACCTTTCGTTTTAACCAAATAAAAAGAAACAAGAAAAGAAACAATAGAAAAAACAAAAAAGAAACAAAAAAAATATAAGAAAGGAAAAAAAATGAAACAAGAAAGGAAAAAAAAGAAACAACAAAGAAACAAAAAATAAACAAGAGAAGAAAGAAAAAATGAACAAGAAAAGAAAAAAAGGAACAAGCAACGAAACAAAAAAAGAAACAAAAAAGGAAAAAAACAAACAAAAACACAAGAAAGAAAACAAAAAAAGAAAGAAAAGGAACAAGAAAAGAAAATAAGGAATAAGCAAAGAAATAAAAAAACAAGAAAAGAAACAAGAGAAGAAACTAAAGGAAACAAGAGAAGCAACAAAAATGAAACAAGAAATAAATAAGCAAGAAACCAAAAAATAAGCAAGAGAAGAAACAAGAAAAGAAAAAAAAGAAATAAGCAAGAAACCAAAAAATAAACAAAAAAAGGAACAAGAGAAGAAACAAGAAAAGAAAAAAGGAAACAAGCAAAGAAACAAAAAAGAAACAAGAAAAGAAATAATAAAACAAAAAAGAAACAAAAAAATAAAACAAATTCACAAGAAAAGGAATTTTTCTCAATCAAAAAAATCATACTGTTCTGTTGAGGGGGGAAATAATTTTCCCCTTGATTTTCGAAATAATTATTTCACACACCATATTTATTCGGAGATATTTGCACTTTGAATTAATACACAGAATAAAATATTCTGCGTCATTTTAAATTATATGACGCAAAGTGTATTGTTATTTTGCTTATTATTTACGTGAGCATTAAGAACTCGTGACGTGAGTAATGAGCTTCCCTTAACGAAAAAGAAAAAAGAAAACATTTGTTTCAATTCATTAATGCAAAATCAACACAACGAAAAAGGAAATTTTATGTTTCATTTCAAAATATTCCGCATTTGCAACTTTTTATCAAATTAGATAACAAAAAAAAAAATATGTTATATAATTTGTTTCGCTTATTGATATGTCATTTTATTTTGGTAATTGGTACCATCAAAAATTTATTCATTCAACAAGTGTCAATAAAGAGAAAAATTTATTATTAAATATCACGATTGATAATAACAACGAATTATATCAAAACTATCAATTACATAAAA